AAAAATTTAAATATTAAAAAAATTAGTAAAAATCTTCGCAGGCAAATTTGCCTGCATTACAATTTAAGGGATAGTAAATTTATATAGTAATTTGAGTCACATTTTACTAAGATCATGCTTCTGTTGAGTGGCAAATCATTCATTAAATAATTAAATTTATAACTTAATTAACAACTTATCTTTAAATTCAATTAGATTTGTTATAACGACACTTTAACAAAAATTCTTATGAAACTAAACAGATTCCAGAATGCTGGAATATTGATATTAGGTTCAGAAATAATTTCTTATTTAATTTCATTTGAACATAAGTATCATAAGTATAACATATCTCTAAATATTATAGAATTTAAATTTCTTATCATCTAATATCCTTCCTCTTAAGTTTAGAATTAATATTCTTAGATAAATAAATTATTTATCCTTTAAAAATCTTACTAAGTTTAAGTTTAGTAAAATATATATATTTGTACTTTGCATTATATAAATCTTCATATTTAAAATTTCATCAAGTATATAACATAATAGAAAATTAACTTATCTTTAATTAGATTCATCATATCGATCTTTTAGTGATTAAAATATCACTTCTTATTGTCCAATAAATTCAAAAACGTTAGATTCTCATTTTTAAGTTCGAAATATTTATTCAATTCGTGAATAAATTCTTGTTCTTTTTTGTTTGAATTCAATCTTCATATGTATAATGTATCTTCTTATGTTAGAGAATTAAATCTTTTATTGGTTAATATTCTCTTAATTTTAGAATTAAATATAGATTCTTAAATAAGTAAGTTGATTTTCTTAATCTTCTTTTGGTATATTTCATTTAAACATAATCTTAAATGCTTATGTCGAATCTTTAATATCTCCCTTTCGACTTGATAATTAATTTAAGTGTTATGGCATTTATTTGGTTCACATGACTTAATTTGAAGCTTCATGAGATTGATTAATTTTTCTACATTTTACTTTATACTTTGGTAGATTCTTTTAGGTTTGTAATGGTTATAAGTTTATTATTGTATACCATCTTGACAATAGATATCAGATCTATTAGAAGGAATTCTAATTGGATATAGCAATCAGAAGTGCCTTTATCAAACTTAAAACAAATTTCACCATTTCAACACAACATCATATTAAAGTAGTACAAACTATAATATCTGTTGCCATTGTATATCATTGTTTCATGAACACTTCTGAAGCAACGTAAGGTAAAATGCCATAGTCTTTTAAATCAGATTCATCTATTTTTCTAAATAATCCTAAGTCTGTAATATAAGATGTTATATTACCATTGATATATTAATTCTGTAATATATTGGCATTATGAAAATCTTTATGAATTTATTTGGCTTTGTAAATTTCCATCTAATCATGTTGATGAAAATACTAATTCAAATCCCTTCAGTGATTTTTTTTTAACGTTTTCTAATCTGTTAAAAGAAATTCATTCGAACATCTTCATATGCTACAGCTTTAAGTTAAACTTCTTTAATACAATTATCAATATCTTTATTTCATTCATCTGTCCTTCTGAGAGTCACATGATTAATACTTAGCTGGCATTGCTTTACATCGATTGCAGTTTGCAACTAATATATACTTATTTGTTAAAGTATTTTGAGTTAGTCTATATATTTTAGATCTTTGATTCTTTAATTTTTTAATACTTTTATTAAATTTAAGTTTGGCAAGCTGTGAAGTATCCCATCTACTATCACTGGTAGTTATAGATGACTATGAAGATACTTGGTTTTTTTGATGCCAATTATGTTGATGACATTAGTTGTGTAGTGGTAGTATATATGCTTGTATGGCAATTTGCAAAGTCTTCTAACTTGAACCAGATTCTGTTGATTTTGATTTGTTATCCACAGGTTCTTCAGTAATAGAACTAGATATATTTTCTGCTTTAAATTTAGGCAATACTGGAATTTCTGGTACATCCACTTTTGCTGAGATGCTAGGCCAGCTTCTTTAACTACTTTTAAATCTTGACTTATCTCTTGAGTTGATTCTTCTGTGAGAGTTTCTGTTGATAAAGTATAAACTAAACCTTCACCATTAAGCTTTTCTTTGATTATTGAAGATACACCATCATCAATATACATTGGTCCTAGACTTCATCAAATTTTTTGATATGCTTCATCTTTGTTGGAAAATCAATCTGTGATTTGAATAAGCACTTTGGCATCCAATAAGTCCAAATTCTTTAGAGCGAATCATACATGGCGAAATACATAACTTTATTTTTGAGTTTAAAAATTTGTATAGTATTTAATTTGGTTTAAAGAATTTCACTATTCTTATGTGAAGAAGGATCTAAGTTTTACAAGCTTTATTCGAACAATTACCCTTCTTTCAAGCTAAGTAACTTATGTAGTTATTTTCATTCATACTTAATTAAATTCTTCATTCCACATTTTTTCTTTTTTTTTTTACACTATACTATCAAGATCCAATTTTCACGCAGTACTTATTTTAGCATATGCCCAGCCAGTACCAGGCCTAATTTGTGACTTACAGGCTAGACAAATCTCTCATTTTTGTGTAGTACCTATTGCAACATATGCTCTGCTAATACCAGGCTTGATTAATAACTTACAGGCTGAACACCTCTAACTTTGATATTACAATTCTTTCTTGTAAAAACCTAATTTTTTTTATTTTTTAAGTTATGTTTGTTAAATAAATTGATCAATATCATAATTATCGCTTGTTCAACTATGGATCTTTTTCTTCTTTTGTAAAGATCGGGAGTGCAATCATAAAGACTGTAAAGATAATTGGATCAGAGTTGTAAAGAAAGGAGTAAATAAAACAATAAGAGTCAAAATCGGCATTGAAAAGTTGGAGTCAAAATCATCGAGAAAAACCTTAGCTAGTTTATAAGCCTTTTCTATATATTATTTGGCTTAATTCTTAATAATTTCTTCAAATCAACGACTGACTTATTATACCTTTTCATCATATAATTAATTTCTCTTCGATATCTTAATGCTATTGTATTAGCTGGTTCAATTTCTAACAATATAGTTAAATCTTCGAATAATTTATTATATTTTCCATAAAATAATCCTTTTCTTGACATTCCAATATTATGATTTAAATCCAATACAAAGATATATAATGCCTTTGTAATTGTTATAAAGATGGCATGTAATTTTGAAGCTAATTACATTAGTTTTAGAAAAGACTCATGATGTTTTTTTTTAGTACTCCAGATACAAGTAAGTATTAGACATTCTTAATAATTGAATTTCATACTCATCAAGATTGTCAGTAACTTATAAACTAAATAAAGTTAAGAAGTTCATATCTCACAGTTATTACCAAATATTACAGGGTGAATTGTATCCTTTTATATATATAAAACATGAAAATATATAGTTTTGGGTGATAAGGCAACTCGCCAGAGGTATGACAATGGTTATTTAGCAATAGTTTAGTTTTAAAATGATATTATCAAGATAATTTATTAAATGATATAGGTGAATAATATTAGAATTCTGTAGGACTTTACATTTACAAAAGAAAAATTACAGAGTTTTTATAACTTTCACTATCCTAATGATCTCAAGAGGCTTGGAATAAATCAGATAAATCAGATCTTTCATCACGAAAGATCAAGGAAGAATCACTATAACTAAAAGGGCTTACAAAGATAAGTACAACATAATCATAATAATAAAGGCTTTGCCTTTACAATATTTTATATTAAAACAATTTCTAATTATTTCTTGATTCTTGTTTTCTTCTCTTTAGATCTTCATTCGTTCTTCTAGGAATTCTTCTTCAGATTTTGTGTAGGTTATCATTTTTACTAATTAGCCAGTAAACTTCATGACTAGTTGATCTGGAATTCTGACAATCGATCTGCTTGAAGTCATAAGTTTGCTGCACCGATTCGTCAGTCTACCTTTTAGCCTATGACAAAATTAAATATATCAAGAGAAGAATACATATAAAAATAAACTTTTACAACTTTCTCATAGTTTAAGTTCTTCTATTTGAATTGGAAAATGCTATATTAATTTTCTATTTAAAAATTAATAAGCTAATGAAAGCATAGTTAGTCAAATATAAACATTTAATAAACAAAAGAATAAATAAATAAAATAAAATCAAAATTTAAAATCAAATTTTGCATAGAAATGCATTTTGATTACAAAAAAAAACAAAAAGAAAAGAGAAGGCTCTTTGAGTAACCAATCTATACAAACTACTCATATCAAACACTAATGTAATTAATTGCCAGTTTGATAGCAAAAGATTTTTTGATCATTACATAGTCAAAATTTTTGTTGACCATGCTAGAAAAGATTTGATATTCGAATACCTCATGTGATCATAAGTAGATGGATTTATGAAAAAGATTTTAAAGCTTTTATTGTCATCAAAAATATTTAAATTACACATATTTAATAATCTTATTATTAATTTCAATCTCATATTTTTATTTTTAATTGCATTTAGTCTTCTTTTTTCAACTTATGTTTTTTTTAAATTTGGCAATCCTGCCTTTATTGTATTAGGAGTGCATAATCTAAATACATAGTTTCTGAACAAAAAGCCTGCAATTAACTCATTGTCTTCCACTCTCCTACTCTTCAATAAAGACTCACTCGGCTGCTCATAATAGTGCCCAAGTGTGATTTGCCGCAGCAATAATTCACTTCTCTTCAGCATCTAACTTACTAGATGACTCCCCGAAAAAATCACAGAAAGCTTATTGCTAGCTTTGTCAAGATTGCCTTTTTCT